TTTCTGAAGAAGGGTCTAGGCCCGAAACATCAGCCTTCCTGCTCCTCTGATGCTGCTTGGCCTGCTGTGTTCATCCAGCTCTACACCTTGTTATCTCGGATTCTCCAGCATCTGCAGTTCCTACTATCTCTGTACCATTCATGTACGTAGTTTAGGTAAGCTTTAAGAATATGAGACTAACACTACCACAGATGTTTATCAGCACACTAATTGGTGTAACTTTCACTACCACTTCTGTGCAGGTATAATCCTGTGAATTTCAGGTCAATATGAATTCATTTGGGGTCTTCCACATTAAGGATCCTATATCGATGCAAATTATTGTTGCACTCATCTTGGACTTTAAGCTGATGGTGATGTCAAAGTTCACAGTTTGCTGCAGTTGATCGCTAATTTTGGTTCTCATCTTTGCATGTTTAGTCTTAACTTGGCAACACTCGAGGAGTGAAATTCCTCTGTGCCTTTGATCTTAACAACATATTGAGATGACTATCAAGCAGTGCTCCTCATAAAATATTCACATAATCACAACAGAATTAGGGTTGGCATAGAGGGAAACCTTTGCCTGATGAAGTGTGTAATCCTTGCATACAATCTCAATAATTCTGTAACAAACTGAGGACTAAAATATTCGTGACTGAGAATTATTTTTACACAAACAGTGTGGTTATCATTGTCTTTATTGCCGAATAGACTTTCTATTTGTTAGATAGACTAACTCTACTTCATACCGAAAATGATGCCGGAAGACTGGAGTACACTTACATTGACAATTCGGGAATTCATCATCAAAATAGTCAACTTGACTGAAGGGATCATCCTCCCAAGATAAATGCACATATCCATTGCTGAAAAGTTCTAATTACGGATTGTAATTTTGCACTTGAGATAGGTTTTTATGGAGCAGTCTTGTATTTTGCTTCAGTTTCCTTTGTGCTGATTGCAAAATTGAAGTTGTTGCGTGTGTTTGGAAACAGCTGCTGATGCACAGTTATCGGCGAACAGAATATAATAAAATATGACTTTAGGGATCTTTGTCTTTATCTAGAGTCATCCCAGATTGGGCAAGTTCTTGGCCATACAAAATCTGACTTTTAAAGCTGGATCACTAACATGAAATGTTTGATGGACAAAACAAAAATGTCTGTTGATGCGAGCACACATTAATGACTGGAAATGGATCAAAAGACTCACCGATATTGAGGAGCATTCCTATTCTGAACTGGCAAACCAATGTGACGCATTTCCCAGGGCAGCTGGATTCTCTACTTTTTCCAAAGAATCTTATAATTCTGTATCCAAGGCCTTGATCAGGTCAACAAACATGATGTAGAGGGTCCTTACTGTGTTCTTGACATTTCTCCTGGCGCTGTCTAACTGCAAACACCATTTTAGTGGTTGCTCAGCCTCTTCTGAAACCACATTGACTCTGCAGCATATCCTGGTCGAGATCTTACACTAGGTGGTCCAGAAGGAATTTGATAAAGAATTGCTGGCAATGGAGGGAAGTGAGATTAGTTATGGAAAAATTGATGAATTCCTTTTCACTTGCACAGCTGTACAATGAAGGCACCCTTGTATTCTTGCAGGATGGTTCCTGCTCCCACGTAGACTGATAGAGCTCAATGAGCTTCATGACCAGGCATTGGCCTCCCAACTTGTGGACTTCACCTTAATGAGTGTCAGCTCTGAACTTTGCTGTAAGACAGGGGTTTGAGAGCATTTGTCATTTCTAACCCTGTGGGAGCATCATCCAGAGACCAGTTGAATGCAACCGGTGGCAGCTTATTGATTGATTCTTTATTGATGGATGAAGACTGATTAAAGATGTATTTAAAGTCTTTTACTCATCTTTCTAGAATTTAAGTGTTTTCTGTGAGTAGCATTAACCTGTCGTCACTGAGGATTGGTAAAGAATCAGTCATCTGAATCCTATAGACAGATTTCAGAGCATAGTAGAATCTCTGACAGTCTTTGCATTGTATATATGATTCAAACCAGTCTGCTTTCTGATTCAGCCAAGTGTTGTATATATCTCTGAGCTTGCATTAAACAGTCTTGTGGATGTTTGAGTCATGACCAAGCATGGATACTGATAAGGAAAACCCTGTGGAGATAATGTTTCTCCTCCACTAATTTTTGGAGTATCTCATTTTATTTGTTGAACCAGCCTTGATGCTCGTAAAAGGTTGGGCCAAGGGTCTTTAGAACAGTGGAGCACACTGTTCCAGAATGTCACCTGGTCGTCCTTTTATAAAGACTATTTTTTAATGTAGTTTTGATTATGAACTGAAATGGGAAAAGGACTGTTTTATAATCAATGATTGTACAAAGGATTCTTACACATTTCAGAAGCAAGTTGCCAAAACCCATTGTAAATGATATTTAAGGCGTTGTTTTGTTCAACCAAGTTGGTTGCGGAATGGCTGGCATTGGGGGTGTATACTAAGTGAGATTCATCCAGTAACAAGTAGCTGTTTGGTCTATAGAATGGTGACTAGTTGTTGATGACAAAAGCCATCAGCCTGCTGACAACTATGTGATTGACTCCCGGGCTGTGAATGCAAATGATACTTCCTTAGGAGCCCCAGAAGAGAAGGTGACATGTCTCAGCAGTAGAAATACCTGAGGCTTAAAAACAAGTTTATTTTCCCTCATCAGTTGCTGTATTCTGTTGCTTTTAACCAATAAATCAGAGACTTTATAGTCTGTGAACCAGTTACTTTGTG